ACAAAAAAAAAAGGGGGAAAAAAAAAGAAGGAAAAGGGAATTCAATACAAAAACAAAATGCCCAGGTACAACCCTCAAACCAGAAATGTGTAAATGCTGAAAAGGCGGAATCGTACTCTTTATGGAAAATGGTTAGAAGTATGGCTAAAGTAACTTCGTACTGTACCTTTATCATTATGGGACTGCATGTATTAAAGACTCGCTGGCATATTTACTTAATAGCGGTCCAGTAAAAGGCATGTCTTCCTAAGACCCTATATGAACTGTGGACGGGAGGAAACCTAAGTTTTGAGCATCTTCATGTTCTGGGTTTGCCCAGCGAAGTAAGGATTATATAATTCCACATGAAAAATGAAGGCTTGAATGCCTAAGACACGCGTTTAGTGGATTTATCATAGGATAATCCTGAAAAGTCCAAAAAAGGGTAATAGATTATTGTCTTACCATAGTAACGAGAATTGTGAGGTCTGGATGAACAGGTTTATATTTGAAAAGTGGCCAAAATTAGTGGAAGCAGTGAACCCACGGTAAAGTGGAATGTGCGAGAGACTTCAGATTGAAAAACTCTAACTCAGAATGGATTTCCGAATGTCTCTTCTTCTCGGATTGTTTGGATTCCACTTGTTGTATCGAACGGTTTTAATCAAACATGGGTTTTGAAGCAACAGAGAACAACATTTCGGACACCCACAATCAATCGACCATATTCAAGATGATGACAGACTAGGCAGAATAATGGAAGCGCGAATTCTATCTGAAAGTGAGGAAAGAATGGTTTTCAGAGTACAGGAAAATAACAATTACGGGAGGTCAACAAAGGCAAGAGTGCCAGAGCACACAATACTCATATCTTTCTCGAAAAAGGCATTCTATAATTTTATTATCGAGAAAAAATTACTGGATAAAATTACATTGTAATTGAAAATAGATTTCAATATCCCAAAATTGTTAGCTGGCAATGCTATTCTCATCAGTTCAGATCAAATCAAAGTAGTTGGACATTTGTAATTTTTTAGTTATTGAAACAAGAAAATGAAAGAAATCCTATTCCATCCTCGTATACAGATGAAAGAGTAGATCAAACCGAAATTGTGTAGTAGAGAGTTTTGGTTGAGAGAGAGTTTAATCAATCGAATAGTGGTTTTATCTATTTTTTTTTATTTTGTTGTTGAGTGAAATTCAAAAATTGTTTCGTATGATTGTACGTACAATCGATTATAACTACTGACATGGTAAAATAAATTATATTAATATTTTATTATTAGATCATTAGAAAGATATCTTATAATCATTAGAATTCTTATATAATAATACTAAGTATATCTAAGTGAATATATGTAATAAAGTGCAAAGAGTGTAGAACTAACTAAATGACGTATTTCTATTTCTGTATGAAATATATATGATAATTCGTTTATTTGTTATTCTCATCTTTTTTTTTTCCTTATAACTTTCATTTTATAATTTGACTTTAATAATTTAATAAAAATAAAAATTTAATAAATAATAGAAATAAAGAGTTTTCTGCTTATAAAATATACAGATTCCAAAATTGATATTATAATTAAGCAACCGTTTCTTTCGAATGTCAATTTCCAATTGCCAATCAACAACAGGTAGATCTACAGGACATACCCAAACACATACTTCACAAGCAATGCATTTATCAAATTCAAAATGGATTCGACCGTGGAAATGCTCCAATGTAATTAATTTTTCATAAGGTTATTGAATCGTTACAGGTAAACGGTTTGCATGGGATAAGGTAATCATGAAACCTTGACCAATGTACCTTGCAGCTTGCATGGTCTGTTGCCCATAATTCATGAACCCAGTTACCATAGGAAACATATGGTGAATATTTATCAATAATTTTATGTTTGTTTTTTTCTCTTGTAAATCATGAATCTAGAAAATTTTTTTTATTATTCTTTTATAGTGAAAGGAGTTGGAAAGAGGTTGTTAATAATAAATTACCGAGAGAAATCGGTAAAAGAAATTTCCATCCAAGATTTAAAAGTTGGTCCATTCTTAGTCTAGGTAAAGTCCATCTTGTTGTAATAGGAATGAACAAGAACAAATAAATTTTAACCAATGTAGTAAAGATACCTATTGTTGTTTCAAAGACTCCACCTATTTTATTTATTTGAAAAAACTCAGGAACGAATAGATACGAAATAGAGATATTCCAACCACCCAAGTAAAGAACTGTTACAAATAATGAAGAAACTAATAAGTTTAGATAGGAAGCAATATAAAATAAACTAAATTTTATACCAGAATATTCGATTTGATAGCCTGCTACTAATTCTTCTTCTGCTTCTGGTAAATCAAAAGGCAATCTTTCACACTCTGCTAGAGAATAAATAAAAAAATGATAAATCCTATAGGTTGAAATGATAAATCCTATAGGGTTGATACGCCACAAATTCCCCCACCAAAAACCGTAATTTTTGGATTGTGCCTACAAACTATATCACGAAAACTTACATAGATGAGGCATACGAACTTAAAATATAAAATACGTCGCTAGATAGAAAACATCACCTGTTGCCCATCGCTATTGATAGAACGCGTACATCTGAGATTTCCCTCACCTCATCACGGCTCCCGAAAGTATAAATAAAATTAAAAGGAATAATGCAGCGATGATTTATTTTGAATATATTCTATAGAATAGATAGGATCAAAAATCAAATCGTTTCGACGTTCCGAGAGAGAGCGCGGGCGAGAGATTCTTCTCAAGTCTGATTATAGACTACTAAAAAATAAAACAACTAAAAATAAAAAAGAATACTCTACGAATCTGGATCTCATCTTTAATTCCATTTTTAATTTCTGAAGAGAGTAACTTTAGCTTCCCGGGAGAGCGGACGAAGAATCGATAAAATACTCTTTGTAAAAAGGAAAATATTCCTTATAAAAATACCAATAGATATTTCAACCTATCATTTTCGATTACGAAAAAGTTAGATATTTTGAATTATGACACGAATTACATCTTTATGAATATTGATATAGAAAAAAAGAATAAAAAATATTTCTTTTTTTTTTTCGTTCCTATTCTTCTTTCTGAAAAAAAGAAAAAAGAAAAAGGGGATTAAAAAAAATGAAAGGGTAGGAGCGTACTCTGGATTGAAATCATGGGGAGTACTACCTGATCATTTCTACCAACTTAAAGCCCCAATTAATATACTTTTCTATTATCTATTAGGCCGAACTACCCTTTTAGATAATTTAGATAATTTTCAGTCTATTACTAATCCTTTGTGTATCTTGGTATTCTTAACCATCCACTCATTTTTGCTTAATCACCTGTTAGAATTATGGTAATACATATAAATGATAGTGTATCCTCCCTTTGTGTAATCTTGGTGATGTGCTGAACACAATTCCACGTGCACTTTTCTGCTAATCAACCTGTTAGAAAAATTCATGGTAATAACTATAAATGTGATAGTGAAGAATCTCAAGAAAACTCACACAGCAAGGTGTATCTGTTTTGAGTCGCTTCAAGTCAGGTGACTAATCCAAACCAATCTTGGGGCAACCAGCGCGTTTTTTTTTCGCTATTTATCTATATATATGGTAAATCGGAGTCCCCCTCCATTTTTCTTACTTTTCGAGAGAGGAGAAGCTATATGTATTTTTCTTTTATCTCATAAAACTATCCCAAGTATAAGTATTCGCGAGGGCGCGAAGCTCCACAGATAGATGGATATAAAAAGTGAGAGAGTATTCATTTCGCCCTTTCCTAAATGTCCTAAAAGAAAAGAATGGGAAAAATTATGTTTCAACAAAAATCACGACGTAAGAGATATGGGATAAACACACGAGAGAACTTAATGGCTATTCGTCATAAGCTAGACGAGTCTGCGAGTCCAGCAAGCATCAGGAGAGCGTACAGAGAGAGAGAGTTTATTGCCTGGAGCTCTATGAAGACGTCATCGAACGAAAGTGCGAGCAAGTACTTGAAATGGCAATCATAAAAAACACCAAAATAAGTGTACTATCAGCTTAAAACAAAGTGAATAAAGCCAAAAGCGAGAGTTAACTGAGAGTAGACCTTAAAGTAAAGTTTGAATACCAACTGCTATGGATTGGTCCCGATACTGAATAAACGAGGTATGCTGCCGGACGCGCTAGTATTGTCGAAAAAGTATCTCTCTTTGAAAAAGACATCACATAGTTTGTCGCATCCACTAACGCTATGAGAGAACCCTAAAAGATCAGTCGGGGGGATATTCAGGATACCAATACGTTGTTAGGTAAGTCCCTGCAGCGAGGTATTTGTGCCTCCACAACCATTAACAATTAGAGTAATGGGGAGCCTATACGGGAATTCCAAATACAAAGAAACAAAAAGGGACAAAGGCCATAGAATCCATTAAGACCTCGTTTAGGATCTAATATAAGAAAAAAGAATTGCATAGCTTGACTTCGTTGTATCATTATCATTTCAACTAATCAACTTTCTCCCATAATGAATAATCTATATCTACGTAGTTATTGTCATAATATCAGCCAATTTCATTCTTTTAACTAATTGAGAAAGAATTGCAAATTGGATAAAACCCGGGGGGGCGAATTTTTCCATCCTCCTAAGGAAAACACGCTTGACTCCCCTAAAAAGAAAAATTCCCCAAGTTCGTCTTTTGGAGCTTCGACTCTCACATAAAGTTCTTGTTTCGGTAATTCAAAAGTAGGAGAAGTTTTTTTTACTAATGAATCGATATTCGAAATCATTCCATTCTGGATCCCCTTCTTTATCAAAACGTCAGGTTTCTAAATTTTCATAGTGCCCACCCGGAATTCCTTCCAAAGCCTGTCGAATAATTTTTATAGATTCCATCGTTTCACCAATTCAGACTAAATAACGAGCTAATGAATCCCCTTCTTTTTGCCACTGGACTTCCCAATCAAATTCTTAGTAACACTCATAACGATCCATTTTACGAAGATCCCATTGTACTCCAGAAGCTCGTAGCATTGATCATGATAACCCCCAATTTATTACTTCCTCTGTACCAACAATACCAACTCCATCAAATCGTTTTAAAAAAATAGGATTTCGTGTAATAAGTTTTTGATATTCAGCAACTCTTGTTAAAAAATAATCACAAAAATCCAAACTTTTATTTATCCAGCCATGAGGTAGATCAGCCGCTACCCCCCCAATACGAAAATAATTATGCATCATTCTCATACCAGTGGCAGCTTCGAATAAATCATATACTAACTCTCTCTCTCTCTCTATAATATAGAAGAAAGGAGTTTGTATATCCGCTATAAAAATGCCAAGCCATAATAAATGAGAAGCTATAGGACTGAATTCCAACATAATTACCCTGATATAGATAGCTCTTTTAGGCACTTGAATATTTCCTAACAGTTCTGGGCCATTTACTGTTATTGCTTCTGTGAACATAGTAGCCAAATAATCCCAACGTGTTACATAGGGCAAATATTGTATAATTGTTCATTTTTCGCAATTTTTTCCATGCCTTTGTGTAAATAACCTAATATTCGTTCACAGTGTGGGCGGAAAAAGGGGGGGCTCCCCGTTCCTAGTTTTCCTGTAGCTGGATCCTCAGGAACCATAAGAGTCCTTAGTTAGAATGGGATTCCAACTTAGCACCTTTTGAGATTTTGAGAAGAGTTGCTCTTTGGAGAGCACAGTACGATGAAAGTTGTAAGCTGTGTTCGGGGGGGAGTTATTGTCTTCGTTGGCCTCTATGGTAGAATCAGTCAGGGGCTCGAGAGGCGGTGGTTTACCCTGTGGCAGATGTCAGCGGTTTGAGTCCGCTTATCTCCAACTCGTGAACTTAGCCGATACAAAGCTATACGATAGCACCCAATTTTTTCGATTCGGCAGTTCGATCTATGATTTATCAATTTATCATTCATGGACGTTGATAAGATCCTTCCATTTAGCAGCATCTTAGGATGGCATAGCCTTAAAGTTAAGGGCGAGGTTCAAACGAGGAAAGGCTTATGGTGGATACCTAGGCACCCAGAGACGAGGAAGGGCGTAGTAAGCGACAAATGTTTCGGGGAGTTGAAAATAAGCGTAGATCCGGAGATTCCCGAATAGGTCAACCTTTCAAACTGCTGCTGAATCCATGGGCAGGCAAGAGACAACCTGGCCACCTGGCGAACGAAAATCTTAGTAACCAAGAGGAAGAAAGCAAAAGTGACCGTAGTAGCGGCGAGCGAAATGGGAGCAGCCTAAACATTGGAGGGTATGGGAGAGCAATCGATGAGGCGAAGTGGTGGGACGTGCTTGCACCCTAGAAGCGAGAGTCCATTAAGCCGAAAGCATCACTAGCTTAAACCTCTGACCCGAGTGCTGGGGCACGTGAATTCCCGTTGAATCAGCAAGGAACCCCTTGCAAAGGCGAATACTCCTGGGTGGACCGATAGGAGGAAAGTAGTTACTGTGCAGCCTGAAAGGGCTGAAAAGGAACCCCATACGGGAGGAGCCCCGGGGTGCTCGTGAACCGCATCAGTTGGAGGCGGCCTCCTAGAGAACTCCGGGAAGAATGGACGTTTATTCGGGGAATTCCCACGCTAATGATTGGAAGAAGAGCCGGCCGACTCAATAGGCATGGCTTGGTTAAGGGAACCCACCGGAGCCGTGGGGACTTCATAGGGCAATTGTCCACTGGCTTATGGGCCCGAACCTAGGGAATCTTCCATGAGGATGAAGCTTGGTAGCGTGGGGTCCGAACCGACTGAATGTTACGAGAAATCACGGATGAGTCTGGGTTAAGGGTAAATGCCACTCGAACCCAGAAGCTAGCCGGTTCTCCCCGAAATGCCGTTGATGCGTGCAGCAGTTGACTGTTACATATGGATCAAAGCAACGTTTCGTGGCCGGGCCCCGAGAGCGTACTAGGGGTCTGAAATACTAGATATGACCTCAAAAAATAACAGGGGTCAGGTGCAGTGGCGTGCGTCGAGAGGGAAACAGCCCGGATCACCAACTAAGGCCCCTAAATGACCGCTCAGTGATAAAGGAGGTAGGGGTGCAGAGACAGCCAGGAGGTTTGCCTAGAAGCAGCCACCCTTGAAAGAGTGCATAATAGCTCACTGATCGAGTGCTCTTGCACCGAAGATGAACGGGGCTAAGCGATCTGCCGAAGCTGTGGGACGTAAAAATGCATCGGTAGGGGAGCATTCCGCCTTAGAGGGAAGCACCCGCGCGAGCAGGGGTGGATGAAGCGGAAGCGAGAATGTCGGCTTGAGTAACGCAAACATTGGTGAGAATCCAATGCCCCAAAAACCTAAGGGTTCCTCCGCAAGGTTCGTCCGCGGAGGGTGAGGGTGAGTCAGGGCCTAAGATCAGGCCGAAAGGCGTAGTTGATGGACAACAGGTGAATATTCCTGTACTACCCCTTGTTGGTCCCGAGGGACGGAGGAGGCTAGGTTAGCCGAAAGATGGTTATCGGTTCAAGGACACACGGTGTCCCTGCTTTTTCAGGGTAAGAAGGGGTAGAGAAAATGCCTCGAGCCAATGTTCGAGTACCAGGCGCTACGGCACTGAAGTAACCCATGCCATACTCTCAGGAAAAGCTCGAACGACCTTCAACAAAAGGGTACCTGTACCCGAAACCGACATAGGTCGGTAGGAGAGAATACCTAGGGGCGCGAGACAACTCTCTCTAGGGAACTCGGCAAAATAGCCCCGTAGGTGCCTCCTCACAAAGGGAGGTCGCAGTGACCAGGCCGGGCGAGCGGTTTCTTTCCAGGTTGATAATTCTGAAGATTGTATATATGTCATGGGGTGAATGAGTGACATCAAATCTGAAATTTAGTGAGTTGCCTGAGGGAGTCAAACCACAAGTTTGGTTTGTAAATGGGTTTTTAAAAGACAAACGGGACTTAAGGCGCAACATTGAAAAAAGATATAAGGCCCAAAGACTTGTTTGCTAAAGGTTACACTCAGAAGGATGCATTGATTATAAAGAGACCGTTTTCCTCCAGTTTACCAAAAAGGACTCTTAAGAATTATTTTTTGGCTTTGGGCCACTATTATATCTAAGCTTCACCAAATGGATGTAAAGAACAGCCTTTCAATAATGGTGACTTAGAGGAAAAGGAATATATAATGGACCAACAAGAGGGATTTGGGGTCACAGGAAAGGAAAATTTAGTGTGTAAAGTTAAAGAAGTCAATATATGGACTGAAGCGCTTCCCGTCAATAGGTAATCATTAAAGTCAATAATACCGATCACTTCATATGGTTTATAGAAAAAAACTGTTGAGGCGGTGTATTTATATGAAGGTCAGGGGAGAAGCTCATTATATTAGTCCTATATTTGTTGATGGACATTCTTCCTTCGCTGCGAAATGATGTTGGGTTGTTGCATGAAATGTAACGGGTTTCTCTCTAAAGACTTTGAAATGAAAGATTTGGGGAGAGGCATCCTTTGTGATTGGAAATAGAAATATTCCGTGATAGATCACAAGATGTTAGGATTGTCCTCAAAAAGCTTACATTGAATAAGGTATTAGATGAGATCAGAATGGAAAAAATGGCCTCCGTAAGGAAGTTTCCAATTCAGAAAAGGAGATAGGTTCAGCGAAAATGCAATGTCCTAAAAATTGAATTTGGAATCTTAAAGAGATGGAGTCTATTCCATATGCTCTAGTGGTTGGGAAGCTTAAAATGTATGATTTCGACATGTACTCGAGCCGATATAGTTTCGCCGTAAGGAATATTAGCGCGATATCAAAAGATTGTGGTACGTTTGGAAGTGCTGGTTTGTTCTGGCCGGCGGTAAGGGAGGATCTTGGTAGTTAAATCCCAGGGGAATGGACCATTGGAAAAGCTGCAAGAAAAGTACTTAGGTTATGTTACAAGGCACTAAAGAGATTCTAGTACTCCGAGCTTATAAATAGTCCGAGGCCATCAGAACTGCGTGAGGATACCGCGGATTCAAATTAACATGAGCCGGTCTGATTGTAAAGTTTCCGGAGAAAGTCTATCATTAGCGCCTACTTGTTTCTTCTAGCTGGACGCACGCAGTAGTAGCGTAGAAAGAAGTGGAATAGAGGAAGTCCTGTCATGTGCTACGTCACTAATGGAGGCTGATATTGTGGCACGACCTGCTTTGAGGCCGCACTGTTCATAGGCAATTGGGATTGCCGAAACTTTGTCTTAGGTCCTAGGCGATTGTCGACAGTATGAGCTAGAACCGTTTGAGAATTTACTCGTGATAATTCCAACAGCTAGTCTTCTTCGTCTAAAGAATAGAATGAGGTTACTCTAAGCGGGTGCAAGAAGCACATGGGATTCTTAAAGCTACCTATCTGTGAAAGAAGAGTGCAAAGAAACACAAAGTGTCATGAGCATATCGGTTACTGTCCGATGATGAGCGGATCCGCTAACGTAAAAGCCCCGCCCTTACTGCCCAAATCTCACCTGGCCCATTGTTTGATATGGATGGGCAATTATAGATATAGTCCTTATTAGCAATCGATGTTTAAAACTGTATATAAATATATATACATATGGTCTCGTTTTGCTCATATTATGTGAACAACTTGGGAATTCAATTAAAAAGAATGTGTCTTGCTTATTTATGGTGCTTATCCACATTATAGAAGTATTACAAAATAATGGTTTGAGTGAAAGATAAACAATAACAGTTGACTTGTCATATGTATTGATTGTTGAATAGTTCTCCACTAAAGTTTTTAATGAATTGAAGTGGTCCTGGTGATATATGGGGAAGGAATCATAATCGTTCAAATGACTTGTGAACCAACCAATAACCGACATTAATTTCAAATTTAGTTACATGGATAGACTCAAGAAATGCATCATAGGGCCAGGGGAGATTGTTAGATTATTTTAATATTCTGTATTGTGGCCCATGTGATTAAAGTGCTGGTTCTAATTAAGGTGGCCCAAGATGATGGTTATTGGGCTTAATGTATAAGAGCCAGTTAGGATTTTAATACCCTTCCTCTGCCTTATAAAAGATAAAGGAATCAACAGATTAGGGTTAACACAGAACAGAGAGTGGTGACGCTCCCCTCAATACACAATAACGGAATAGTTTGTTTGAAAGAGTCATAAAAGAAACTCCCGCAGGCTGTTTGATTATGTCTCTGACCATTAAGAAAGATGCACTTACGGACAAAAGGCCAGAGTGAAGAACGTAGATTTGCTGTTACGGTGAGAATCGAATTGTCCCAACTGAGCAGTAACCCATAACAAGATCTGCCGTAATGGCAGAGTGAAGAAACGTAGATTTGCTGTTACGGTGAGAATCGAATTGTCCCAACGAGGTAACCCATAACATAGATCTGCCGTTATGGATCAAGTTACGCTTCTGATTATTGTATATTCTTGTCAAACAAATTATATGAACAATAGATCTGGACTATATTAAAGATTATTTAACAACATGAACTTCGGTTTACTATGAGTTAAATAAGTAATTAATAATTGAGTGACATGTAAATGAATAAAGAAACCAAGTGTTTGTTAAGGACCTATGAGTGGCTGAACCATTCCCCTTGCTTGGACTTGGAGAATGAGACTTTTTCTTTGGACAATATTCCCTTTGACACCTTTTATTGACATGAAAATGGATACTAAGACTACGTCTGAATGTTTTCAAATTAAAGGAAATTATGGACTTAAAATGAAACTTTGTAAATTATGAAAAATTAGAATCTATGAACACATTTTAAATGTGAAAAGATATGGACTTAAAGAATGCTTTGGACAAAAACTATGAAAATAGAACCTTCATAGTTTAAGGGCATGAGTCGTCGAATATGCCTTATCCTCCTAGCTTGGCATTGTTTTGTTTTTATTGAATAACTTTCTTAATTTGATGATTTTGAAATTACATGAATTTGGACTTTCAATTTAGATTTTAAGATAGTTTGATGAAAGTGTATTTTTCTATAAGGTATGTTTAATATGTTTAATGAAATGTGTTTTGAGTATTGGGCATGAAAATTATCTAAACTTTGAAAGTAAACTAAGGATTGAGATAACTGACATTTGAAAACATTGCAACACAAGAACCGTGATTTTAAAGGTAAAATGGTGCTTTTCCAAATGGCCTATAAGTGAATTTATGTGTTTTTGCCTCCTTATATTTCCTTACTGACATAATTGTTATGATAAAAAACACAATGAATGGATTTATGTGTATGACTCCATAAAAAATAAATGAATTACTTTGCTGGTTATGACTTTATAGAAGTTTACATGAATGAGAGGGATAACATGAAATTGAGCAATATTGTATGAATATGAGAATTAGCTCGATGATAATGATTTATAAGAATTATGTAAACCTTGATTCATATGCTAAATATTCTCATGATATTTAATGCTTGAATCATGAAGAATGATCTTATTGGTATAATTATGAGAATTAAAGGCTTTTATGAAATGAATGCATATGTAAAAAGAAACATAACTTTAAGGCCCTAGTAAAGTTGGTGGGTATCGGTAGTAAGATAGAGGTATGGCATTCCTTGTCTATTGTTCCCAGGGCATCATTTTCCAAACTGTCTCTTCTTATTCCTTATCAAATTTTCCTTCATCTTTCTGACTAGGTTCCACTTCCCTAACAAAATCTTTGAGTGCTCCTCTCTGTATCAACTTCTCAATTTCCCTTTTCAAGGCCCAACAATCTTTAATATTGTAACCATGATCTCTATGGAAGTCATAATAATTAGACTTATTGTGCGTAGCAATTAATTCATGTCTTATCATGGGAGGCTAACTGATATGAACTCTTTCAAGATCTCTCCTAATCAAAGCTAAGACTTCATTTCAACTAGTGTTTATGGGCATAAATTCTTCTTTGTTTATCCTTAATTTGCCTTCTCGAGGGTAGGGAACTAGGTGAAATTGTCACTGCTTGGACTGCTTGATGGGAAAGCAGGTCCTTACTAACTCTTCTTATCATTCGATTTCTTCTATTGCCTTATCTAATTTATAGAACTTGTTCGCTTTCACCATAAATTTTGCAAAGGTCATAGGAGGATTAACTTGAAGAAATTTAAATACTATAGTTCTTCTCCATGGCATTGACAACCATTTAATTATGGAAAAATTATTATTTCATCCCTGCATAATAGGAAATACAACTAGTCCATCCCTCCATTTTAAGAAACGCATTTTGCAGCCTTTAGTTTTGTGTCTGTCAAATCTTTGCATCCTTCTGCCCTAGTTTAGCCATTTTTGCCGTTTATTCAATAAGAAAAGACCGGTCAAAAGAGAGAGAGACTAGAAAATAAAACCAAAAGTACCTTTAACAACCAGCATCATCAGTTGACGAGCCGTTTCTATCTCTCTCTATGCAAAATTCAAATACGAAAACAAAATCATAGTGAGGTTTTTACTTATTTCTGTCAATTCCTCTCTCTCCTTTTTCTTTTGTTTCTTTCCCTTTATTATTATTATTTTTTAAAGATTTCTTTACATTGAATTTCATTGAATTCATGTGTTGCAGATAAGAAGTTATGTATATCACGATGTTATCAGGCTGGGTTATGCTCAGAAATTGCCTTTGTTCAAGTAATTGAATTTTCATTGAATTCATGTGTTGCAGATAAGAAGTTATGTATATCACGATGTTATCAGGCTGGGTTATGCTCAGAAATTGCCTTTGTTCAAGTAATTGAATTTTTGGATGGCAATTGAATAATTAGTTAGAGAATTGAACATACTTGAGGAATATATATATGAAATAGCACTCTTCTTATAATTCATTTCTTTTTAATTTTAAATATGCTAATTCACTGTTTTTAGATCCTTTCTTTTAACTTATCGAGAAAATTGTCTACAATGGATAGAAAATCCAACTCTTCTTGTAAATTGTATGTTTGATTTGTCCTTTTGGAATTTAAATCAAACTTTCATTTTTCTTCTCTCTCTCTCCTTAAGTCCTACGCCACCAACAGTGCAAAAGTGGTATTTTTAAATCCAAGGCCACAAACAATGCAATTCAGAGGCTTTGGCAACATCGATAACACTTGCGATAAAAGCTTACAGGACCCTTATCTGTTTTGATCTTTTTCCTACAAGGTCTCAATTACCCAAAGAGAGAATAGAAAATAAAGCTAGAAGTACTTTAACACCCAAAGAGTGAATTAATTATTTTTTGCTTGATTGGATGAATCTAAAGTCAAAATGATGGTGTTTTTTTTTTTTTTTTTTTTTTTTTTTTTTTTTTTTTTTTTTTTTTTTGCTTTGTTCTTGCAAATTTTCAAGGGGAGAAGATAGGTTTGAATGAATTTAGTACAATATTTTTTTTTTTTTTTTTTTTTTGCTTTGTTCTTGCAAATTTTCAAGGGAGAGAGGTTTGAATGATTTAGTACAAAGTGAAAATGTGAAAGAAAGATAAGGGTATTTATTACTTTTGACTAGACACTAACAGCAAAAAATGAGCTTTTTTTTTATGGAAGAACTTATTAGTTTAACGGTTCAAAAGATATGGACTTCAAAAGGCATTTCTACAAAAGCAAGGATGAAGTAGTAGTAATTCAATATATAGAGGGACATGATAGTAATTTTCCCTTTAATTATTAAGATTCTTCACCTGTAATGTCATCTTTCGGAATTTATTTATGTATTGCCGCAATGACTCTTCGTCCTCCATTTTCAGATCTAAGATGTCAAAAGAAATCTTCTTTGATGAGATACTAATGATGAACATGGACATAAAGAGGGAAGCTAATTATGAGAACGAGACAATGGATTGGGATTTCAATTCTTGGTACCACTCATGTGCTACTCCTTTCAAGGTTACAGGAAAAATTTAGTATATGAGCTCATCTCAATTCGTCTGCAAATGCATGATGGTTCGACAATTAGCTAAATGGCTTCTTGGGTCAATTTAACATCATATTTGTCAAATATCGACATCTTAAATTTTTAGGGAAAAGGGACAACTATAAGGTCTGGTGATAGAGGCAAATCGTTTGAGCCCATAGTTGCTCGTCTCTCCTCTTTACTTTTTTATATTCTCTCAATGCTTCTCTAACTTTATGTGCCAATCAGTTTCTACGGTGGTAGAACGAGTCATATTTCTCTAGTTACAGTGCTTAAATTATGTGTCACACCTTAACTCCATCCATCAGAGGAGTTGTCCATTCCGATCCTGGATGAATAAGATTCGCACGGTTTTATCCAGCAGGTGAAATGAAAAACTTGCCAGGAGATCACTTATCCTAAGATTTTTCTTAAACGAGCATACTTTATCCCGAAGTTCTTACAACTTTCTAGGCCATTCTACTAAAAGGTGTCTCTGATGATTAATTTCTCTCGTTTCAATTTATCATTGATTTATTTTCGTGTTCCACATTCCACTACCCTAGCTAGCCTCACCATCCTAAAGGATTGCCAGGAGCTTTGTTCTACTACCCTCTTTAAGCGTTAGCCAGGTCGGGTTGTCACAATATGTCTTGTCTTACCAAGAAGCTTCATCTTTTCCTTCTTGATCTCCTTCAAAAAAGTTATGCTTGCCTTGTTTTGATTAACCTATAGAGTTTTGGTTCCGCTAGTTATATGGATGAATTAAGAAGTTTCCAAGAGGTGGAGATTGATTTTTTAAAAGCACAGCTAATGGTCATTTCTAAGTTTTTTTGGAAGCACAACTAATAATTGTTTTTGAGTTACCAATGCCTGAGCTAGCTATGGTGGAGTTTTTAGAAACATCAATGGCAAATGGCTTAAATATTTTGCAAGGAATATTGTATATTGTGTTGCCTTAGAAAATGAGTTTTAGGGGAATATTTCAAGGTCTTACCCTTGCTTGGGATTTTGATTTAGGGATGTTGATTCG